TATATCAATTAATTATATTTCCTTATTAAAAAAAACTTTTATGTCAATTAAAAGATCAGAGGCAAGCTGTATAAAAATACTATGAACTCTCTCAGTATATGAGGTATTAAAAGCCACATAATTTGGTGATTGTTACTAATATAATCATTGAAATAACACTTCATGAAAAAGTGTCATTGTTATATAGAAGAATGTGATGTTTTATGGCCATTATTATAAAGTTTTTTTCAAATTTCTTTCTTTTTAGTGGTCAAATTTAAGTTTTCACCAATTTATTTAAAGGTCCAACTGACATCACGTTCAAATGCATTAAGATTTAGTGCATTAAAATGCATTAAGGATGAGTTGGCTGGTGAAAATTATTGTCATCTAATGTATTTAGAATGGCCACACTACATAGTTTGCTCTCATTTATGGATGCACACGACCCATCTGCAGACAGTGAGCCACAGACGTAGCAATGGCCAGTTCATTTACCCTGATACCAGCCTGGTTCAGGTTCCATTCTCTCAGGCAAATGACCACATTGAATGTTAGCCTCAACCCAGCTGAACCAGAAAAGTCTGCTTTAGGAGATACAAGATTCTTCAAGTCAAATCTACACAACATAGGATTATCCCTGTGTGTGGCCTGAACTCTGCTGTCACTCTGGCAAAGGGAAGAGGGAGTTGACTGAAATCACATCTTACTCATAGACAGCATTTAGATTTTATTTCTCAGGAGCCTTCTAAAAGTTATTTTTAGAAATTGGCAGGCATGTTAGTTTACACTCAAATATGAAACATATTAAATAATTAAGTATCTATCCATCGCTGCCAGAAACATTGAGTTTGTATGCATGCAAATGAGTAAAAAAGCAGACCAGCAATGAGAGAGAGCCGGCTGTAGCAGTGTACTAACTGTGCCCCTGTTCTTGCTGTTCTAGTTCGTATTTATGGAAATGGCAATATTAACCTATAGAGGATCATGTCTCAATAGAAACGTTAAGCTCTAATGAAGAATATTAAACGTAGAGGCATATACTACTTAAGGTGGGGATACATTCTGATAAATGTGTCATAAGGAAATGTTTTCATCGTGTGAACATCATAGAGTGCACGCCCATAACCTGGACAGTACAGCCTACTACTATGATTGCATGTGCTATACTTTTAGTGATTTGCAGTACAATAGGTTTGTTTACACCAGCATCGCCATAAACATGTGAGTAATTTGTTGCACTATGACTTTATAATGGGTATGATGTTACTAGGGGATAGAAATTATTCAGCTCCATTGTAATCTTTTTTTTTCCAAAAAACCGTATCACTTTATTTATACACCTAAAAAGTTGTACATAGAAACTTAAAATACAGTTCCATAAAACTGGAAGGACTATCAAGGAAAAGGGAGAATGTTATGTTTATTGACTGATTCATCATTAAGGAAGACAAGAGAAGCAAAACAAAAACCACAAAAATATGGTAAAAAATTAAAGAACATTTTCCAGTTACAAATTTTATAAATATGAAGCAAATTCACAAATTACTTTTAATGCTAAATAAATATTTAGTTCATAAACTCAGACTTAACATCTCTAGACAGCAAAGGTACAGCACTTCAAGAGTGTAAAACTGGAGTCATTCGTGTGTAGTGTTGAAAGAGTATGCTCATTAAAAAATTAGTAGACAGCCCTGGCTGGTGTAGCTCAGTGGATTTGAGCGCAGGCCTGCGAACCAAAGGATCATGGTTAGATTCCCAGTCATGTCACGTGCCTGGGCTGCAGGCCAGTTACCAGTAGGGGACCCACGAGAGGCAACCATACATTGATGTTTCTCTCCTTCTCTTCTTCCCTTCCCCTCTAAAGATAAATAAATAAAGTCTTTAAAAAAATTCATAGACATATGCATTTTTTCTATACTGTGCTCTGATTTATTTATATAAATAAATTTCCCTTAACACCATGTCTAAGAAAGATCATCAATGACAAATCATAAGCAAAAAAATATTTTCCAAGATAAGGATACATGAATGATCTCAAATGCACAAAAGTCTCTGCAAACCAGTACTGGATTCAATATATTGATCAAACTTATTCGTTCCTAAACAAAACTGTAGCCAAAGAAATCTTTCCAACATTCTCTTGAGTGGTTAACATTAAAAATGAGACTATAGTGTAGACCACACTTCAAAATGGTCAGTCAGTTGTTATTGCTTTGTACATATATGTCTGTGTTATAGCACGAGTTAATATTCCATTTTTACAATTTGCTTTCCTCAAAATTTTGCGCTTGATCCACATTCCCAGGTGTGATGTGAAGTCCAAGTTTTTGAGCCTGAATGGAAAAATGCTTGAAGCCTCATTCCAGCTTTTGCTTCACTTGTACTGGTCCTTCACTGTTATTTCCTACAAGAGCTTCTTGTAACACTTGTAGGATTACTACCTCGGGAAATTCATCCTGAAGATCAAAAAATTCCCCAAATGCTTTAAGGAGCTCCAAAACTGTCAGAACATCATCAAAAATTTTAGTAGGAAATCGTTTTCACTGAAGTTGCTTCTGGAAATTTCTTAAGATCATTACATTCCGTATCTTCTCTAGGTATTCACCAGTGTTTTAAGTATTCCATATATTTTTGCTTTTCTTCATGTAACTTTTCTTCCTTTTCTCTTTCTATTTTAGGCCTTTTTTCTTTCTTCTTCAGTTTCTCTTCTTCAACAATTTTCAATTCTTTTTTTAAATCTTTTATTTTCTCTCTTTTTTTTTTAGGACATCTCTTCTCTTTTACATTTAGCCTCTTCAAAAGCCAGTGACTTCATTACTTCTTATATGTAAAGTTTTGTCTGTTTTTTAGTAGTTTTATTCTTATAGCTTGCGATAGTCTGTTTATTAATAACACTGTGTTCCTAATACTCATCTGGGTGGTATCCCTCTTTTTCTGTTAGCAGGACTGAAGACAAAGGTGGGTGGATGGATTATCAGGGAAAAACTAAGAAAAATCTTGGTCTGCCATTTTTTATGTTGAAAGAGATGATGCCTTAATTTCAATGGCTTCATCTTGTGGTTCACAGTGTTACTGTAGAGAGAAGCTTTAGCTGTATCACAAGAAAATAGGTGTTTTCTCTGGGTGACTTGGGTAGCACACTCATATAATTTTTCTTTAGTGGGTTGTACTTTGTACTTGAACAATCAACTGCACCTCTTCTTATTTTGAAAAGAACTGTTTTGTGTTTCTGAACCATCACCATCACTGATAATAATAGCTTCTCCATCTACACTGCTGACGTGTACATTAGCAAAACCATTTTAATGTGATGGAGGGAGGACTTCCAAAATCCTACACTGTAACCTTGCTTCACTGTTCCTAGTGATTGCCACAGTTTCTTTGTCAGAATACTGATACTTGAAATATACAAAAATATCATCACAAATTTCATGTAAGCATGAATGATAGGTAAAGTTGGTCCTGGAATAATTCGTGGTTCTGGAAAACTCTGAAGATTCTGTCTCTCTTTGTTCTGACTCAAGTGCTTCTGGATAGGTCAGTCCAGGTCTACCTGTCACATCACAACTCCACAGAAGACTGCTGCACAGAATGGTTTATTCAAAAAAATTATCAGATTGGCAAAGATCTCATTGTGCCTTTCTAGTAGAGAATCTCCTCTTCTGGTAGCAGGTCTCACAAATGGCCTTCATCGTAGCAGTGAGATCTCCTATTAGATGGCGGGCTCACGCTGAAGCTCAGCCACCTGCCCACATTGGCTCCACTTCCCTGCGAGTATGACAATAGCCACTTCTCCACCTTCTCAACTACACAGGCAGTGAGAAGCTCTGCCCTCTCAGAGGTGGTGATGAGGGACATCACCTCTAGCCAGCCCCACCATGAAGGGATGGAGTCCCACTGTCACTTTCCTACCTCTTAGAGCTTCTGCACAGTTTCTGATCCACTTTCAACTCAAAGTCCACTGTAATCTTAAGAGACCACTAATCTATATGTGGTCTGTTGACTTAAATGTTGTTATGTGGTGAATGACTGCAGTATTTTTATTCATTATTTCTCCTGTTTTCAGAATTCATAAAAAGTTGATATTGAATAATTTCAAGATGTTGAAGTATACAAGTAGGAAGAGAAATCTGGTATTCAGTAGTGTGCATGAAATCACCATGTAAAAATTGGATCTGAATTTTGTAAAATGTTCTGCTCAGAAAGATATTAACCCAAGATTTATCCAAAGTAACATAATCTTACATGATTAAGTGTCCTAGTCCATGACAATCTATTAATACAAATCAAGCTGTTAGCTCTGTACTAAGCTGAGAAATCAACCTCAGCTAGCTACTGTTTCACCTAAATTAATTTTGCAAACTAAAGGAAAACTAACAATTTTTACTGGAAAATCTCTTTGTTAGTACCATGTTGTGTCAAGAGTTAGAGGAGTTGCCATCTCATGTAAAAATCCTTGCAACATATCCATCAGGTGATCATCTGTGGCCTCAAGAGACTTGTCAGAATGAATGTCGTGAGCTTCAAAAGTCTTCTCCAAGAACTGGGAGCATTTCAATAAATACTGGCATAGAGTCTCAGTTGGAACAAGAAGAAAACTCAATCCATCCAAACAAAGGTTTCTGAGACATTTGACCTTTATGTCTACCAGAAGAAAAAAATTAACCAGTACTTGTACCCAGTAATTGACCTAACCTTATTCATTAACAGAGCAGTATTCACTAACAGAGCAGAACACCAAGACAGGATTTTGGTAAATGGCACATTATTTTATGAAGAGCCCTGATCAAGGTAATTTACAAGAAAGAGGAAGGCTTACTTCAATCAAGCCAGCACTTGGGATTGTAAAAATCAAATGAATTTCATTGTTCCTTTAAATGTTATCGATACTTCTTCAGTTTTTGTGTCTCATAGACTCGAAATAACAAAATCTTTCTGACATGCATCAATTTTAACTCCCCTTTAAACTCTAATTTTATCTTCTTAATTTCTTTCTTTTTTTTTTTTTTTTTTTTAAGAAAAAGTTTGTTTCCCTTCAGGCTCTCTGAAGATAGCAGTAGAAACCATTGTACTAAAGAGTATCTCACAACTTTTGCTATTCAACTAGAGTGTGGGCAGAAAGCCAAGGAACTTGTTCCTGCTGTGCGAAGGTGAGAGTGATTATAATATTTGGGCCTTGTGTTTGGGATGGGGAGTGAAGGAGGAAGAGAGTCAGCACCCATTGTCTGTGGAGCAGTCTGTGCTTAGGAGAGAGAGCTGCAGTAAGTTGTGTGGTGCTGTCTGTCACGTGACCTGCCTGGCTCTGCTCTAGGCCTGGAGACCAGGTCAGCTCTGCAGCTCAAACACGTCCTCATTTCTGTGTGTTAGCGCTAGAGGACCACTGCCCGGCAGCTGAAGTTCTACTCCTTTGTCATCACTTGTAGCTTTAAGGCATTTCTGGGTAATGATTATATTTCTTATAGCAATTAAATAAGAATGCATTGTTTCTCTACCGCCTCCTCACCAAATACTAGTCCAGGAGAACTTTGCCTCGTTTCTCTCCTAGTGGAATCAAAACTCAGAGAAGCAAAGCATCAGGGTCCTCTTCCAAACTTCATTCATCAGTGCTGTCTAAGAGCAGTCTTTGCAATAAGTGGTGCTGGGGAAACTGGATATTCTATTGCAATAGAATAAAATTGGATCCCTAACTTACACCACTTACAAAAACTAACTTGAAATGGATTAAAAACTTAAATGTCAGACTCAAGACAATAAAACTGCTAGAAAAGGACATAGGGAAAGAGCTTTTGGCATTGGCCTTGGCAATATCGTTTTTTGTTTTGTTTGTTTGTTAATGATACCAAAGCACCAGTAAAAAAAGGCAAAAATAAACAATTGGGACTGTAGTAATCTGAACATCTTTTGCACAGCTAAATAAGCAATGAACAGAATGAAGGGGTACCCTATGGATGGGAGAAGGTATTTGAAAATTCTATATTAGGTAAGAAGTTGATATAAAAATATATAAAGAAGTCATATAACTCAATGGCAAAAACAATCCGATTAAATGTACAGAAAAGTGAACCCTTGTGCACTGTTGGTAAGGATGTAAATTGGCACAGCCATTACAGATAATAGTATGTTGATTGCTCAAAATATTAAAAATAGAACTACAATATGATCTGGCAATCCCACTTCTGGGTATACATCTAAAGAAGATGAAATTACTATCTTGAAGATATTTCTGTAGTCCCATGTTCATTACAGCATTATTAATAATTGTCAAGAGATTAAAAACAACCTAATATATAATCACACACACACATATAATAAATATTATTCAGCCATTAAAAAAAGAAGGAAGTCATGCCATCTACAACCTGAATGGACCTTGAGAGTATTATGCTAAGTGAAATAAGTCAGACAGAAAAAGACAAATACTGTATGATCTCACTTATACATGGGATCTAAAAAAAAAAAACACCCAAAAGCCCAACTCAGAGGAACCAAGAGTAAAACGATGGTTTCCAGAGGCTGGGGTGTCAGGGAAATTGAGAGACATTGGTCAAAGAGTAGAAATTTGTAGCTGTAAGATGAATAAGTTCTGGGGGCCTAATATTCAGCATGGTAACTGTGGTTAACAAAACTTTTTATATTAAAAGTTGCCAAGAGAGTAGATCCTAAGTGTTCTCACCACATGGAAAGGAATTGTGAACCAGACATGACATATGTGTTAGCAAACCTTATTCCACTAATCATTTTGCCATATATACCTGTTTCAAATCATAACATTGTATATCTTAGACCACAGGTGGCAAACACGAGGCCCTCAGGTCCAGTCCGGCCCTCCACCTGTTTTATCCAGCCTGGTACCTTGTTTCTACCTGGTGGCAGCACCGAGCTCTCGCTTCACTGTTAAGGAGTAGTTACATTTACACAGTCCTAAAGTTACATTCGGCCCTTTGAAGGCAATTGTGAGGCTGATGTGGCCCCTGATGAAAATGAGTTTGACACCCCTGCCTTAGACCTACACAATATTATATGTCAATTATATATCAATAAAGCTGGAAAAAAACAAAAAAGTCATTTTTCACCATGGAATTGTAAGCTAAAAGCACAATTAAAATAACTGCATATGTAAAAAAACCAAGTAAATGCCAAAATCATAACTGTCATAGATTTAAAAGAACAAGAGGGACTATCATATAACACATGTGGGAATTGAAATTGATGCAAATAGCCTGATAAACTGTTTGGCAGTACCTACTGAAGATGAACATATGCAAACCACGTGACCTGACTTTTTGTTCCTACTCATATAAACAATACAAACATACACATTTGGCACCAAAAAAAAACAATCACAAGAATATTCACAGAAAAGTTATTCTCAATAGCTACAAACGAAAGGAACCATAATCATCATGAAACAAATGATATGAAAGCAAGTTGTGGTATATCCATACAAAAGACTTTTACCCAGCTCTGTGGAGTAATAAACTGCTTCCACATGGGAAGCCGTTGAGTGAATCTCACAAATCCAAACTTCAGAGAATCATTTTAAACACAAAAGACTACATAAGTTGTGGGGAAGTCATTTACACTCAACAAAGTCAAACTTTGGTAATCAACTTTTAATAGGAATTAGTGACCATGAAGGACAGTCCAGATGAGGCTTCTTTGGTGCTAGAAATATTCTATACCTTGATATATTAACTGTGTGATAATTACATTGGTATGCTCCATATAAAGACATTTTTTATTAATGTTACCTGAATGATTTATGGAATTTATATAAAATATACTTCATTAAGTAATTTACTGAAATTTTTGGGAAGATCAACTATATCAAATATTGCAACCAGCCAAGCAATACAGTAACAGTTAGGTGGTGATTTATATTTTGCATCAAGGATGACCTTTGAAAGGTCAAGGATGACTTTCAGAAGACATTTGAAAGAAGTAGTGAGAATGGAAGCACTTTTGAAATGAAAGGACAAATTTATTGAGGAATTAGGTAGAATGAGGCAAGTGGGTACTAATAAGGTTCATGTTAAGTATTTGATAGAAGTAATCAGAGTGCAGTGGAGATCTAGATTAAAGGTACTTGACTAAGGCTTGAGATACAAGAAAGTATTCTCAAGGAAGTGATATTTTAACTTAGACTTGAAAGCTGAGTAATAGTTTGTAGAAGAGGAAGTAGGAAGGTGTGGTAGGAAAGGATGGGTGTTATATCCACTGGACGTGAGAATAATTTTCGAAGACCTTTCAGGGTTTTGATCTTATTTTATTGGCCAAGCTTAACCTGCGCAGGGGCGAACTCTCGAGGTGTCCTCAGACATGGTGCCTAAAAGGGCTGCAGATGAGAGACGCACCGAGTGCTTACAGCTAAGTCCTTATATAGGGACGAGCAAGCAAGCATTGAACAGATGCAGACGTCGCAGTTAGCTATTTGCTGACAGAGACCGTGCGTGGGAACAGGGTGGGGTTTCAAAATTCAAAACTAAACAGATTACAATCTGCCTATCTTGCTCTAAGTAGGGCACTCACATACTGCAGGATGTCTGCTCAGCCTTTGTTTGCATGCTATTCCTTGATCCTGTTATGCTGTGGTCAGGCTATGTTCTCAACTTCCCAGATCTCGACAATGGGCACTTCAGGCAGCATGAATAGAAGCAGCTGTGAAACTGCACAGCTACAAGAAGCTGCTTGTTATTAATACATTGCTAAGTGTAAAGTTCAGAGGTACTGGCCGGAGAATTGAACCAAGGCACCAGCAATGGAGGAACTTAGGTGCCATGCTTAGATGGCTGGCCTTTTTAAAAAATCAATTCTAGGTAGCTATTAACAGGTTATATACACAAAACTGTCACAATCAAATCTGTGTTTTAAATAGTTACTACAGAACTGAAGGGGAGGTCTGAGAGCCATATAATAAAAAATAATATGAGAATAAATTAATTTTCCTTAATATTTATTACAAGCTAATGTAGAGAGGTCCTAGGAGATCAAAAGATATAAACAACATTTAGCTCTTGAATAGCCCCCAAAATGATTTCACTTTGAATGACTTTATTTCCAACATTGGCCAGTAGTTGTGATGTTTGCATTAACTCATCCATACTTTATCCAGTTTCTTCTTTGGCTAGTGAACATATACTTGCCAATAGTTTTCAATCATCAACACATTAGGTGCTCAATAATTATATTGTTGATTTGTTGTGGTTGTTACACAGGTCAAGAGTAAGGCATGAAATCATATAATAGTTGTGGTATTTTTTTCTCCTCTGTGTGAAGTTAATTGGAGTATGTAGAAATCCAATTCTGAACTTGGCCTCAAAATACCTTTTATCACCTCAGCAGGAAACTCATTTTAGGCTTTTTAAACATATTTGTGTGATTTTGATGAGGTTATCATTATCATAATCATTGTTATTATCCCTCATTAAGTTTCTGGAATACAAGGACATAGTATCTCAGGAAGCTTTTAAATAGTCTTCACTGATTGTTTTTTACTGCAATAATTACAGCAAATTCTGAATTCCAAGACTCTATGTTTTCCAGGTCCTTTTTTTTTGGTTATGTTATGTTATGTAATTTTATGTTAAAATTCTTAGGTCCTTTGGTTAATATTTGTCTTCATTTTTATAGAAATTGGTTGGTAGCCTTAAGCAAGCAAATTAGACATTGTAAACACACACACAACTAATAGCAGCCATAGAGACATTTATTGAAGAAGATACAAGATACAAGAAACATTGTACACAGGACCAACATGCCTCAGTTCCCTTCAAAGTTATGAGCTTTTTGAGGAAATTTGGTTCATTGGTAGCAGTTTGAACCAAGTCATTAGCAACTGCAGCACAATGTTCCTTCTGCTCAGGTAGCAGAAGCTGCAGAACGAATTTTGCCATGACATGTTTCATGCCAAGATCGTGGTCAAAATCTTGGATACAGTAGCTTTTGGAATCCCCAGAGCAGCTTCTAGTTCTCACATCATCAGTTGTCAATCCTTGTTGATTGCAGCCTGTACATGCTAGACATTCTCGGGTGTTCTGCTTGTTACAGGTGTTTCAGAATGTGGATCACTTTCAACAGATTTTTTTCTTTTTATTTTTTTATTGATTATGCCATTACAGTTGTTCTATTCCCCCCCTTCATTCCCCTCCAC